TATATATTAAAGGAAGAACCAAGAGTATTGAGGTGGCATCATGAGAATTGAGTATTGAGGTGTTGGTGAATTATGGTTAAGTTTGAGGTATCCCACAATGGTGAAGGGTTGAAATTTTTGAACAAAATGAAGTGTATAAGAAAGGTGGCTTGGATGCCTTTGTGTCAAATATGAGTTTTGCCTCGTTTAATTCTAAAAGTAAATCACAATTTGTTGTTCGGTTAATTTCATTTAGTTTATTTTTTTTAATACTAAAGAATTGATTAATAAAAGATTATGCCTATATATAAAGATAAAGAGAATATCATGCATTTAAGGGGTAAAATGGTGATTTACGTAATTTCCGTTTTTCTCATTATGACCCTCGGTGATGGTGAACCTTGCATTTCGTACGATTGCTTCTCTACTGTTGCAAAAATCAGCAAGAACAATGACCAATAATCACAAGAAAAAAGGCGAATATATATAAAGAGAGAGTGAAGGTTTACTTTGCAAATCACGTTATTTGTATAAAACGTACAAATCTCATTTAACCAATCATAATTTTTCGTTTTATTTATTTTTTTGTAATTATAAGAGCTTGATTAATCATTTTTATTGTGTAGAATGTTAATCATGAATATTATTTTTATTATTTTAATTTTAGAGAAATATATGAAACAGTTTCATTAAAATTGTATTAAGTATTATATGAAACAGTTTCATTAAAATTGCATTAAATATTATCTGAAACAATTTTATAACCATATATGAAACAACTTCATCAAGAAAAATACCATATGAAACAATTTCATAATTTTTTTATAATATTAAACAATAAAATCAACGGATGAAGGTGGTTAACACGATCTGAATTTTTTTTATAAGATTAAACAATAAAATCAACGGATGAAAGTGGTTTACACGATTTGTACAAATTGAATAGTTTGCATTTGATTATTTATATATATATATATATATATATATATATATATATATGATTAACCAGTTTGTACACACCTCGACTAATCACACAAAACCTAGAAAACAGCCAGAAACATCTCGAATAACCTTAGAAAACTCAGACCGATAACCCTTGAAAAGAAACCCCGAGAGGCTCAAACTCCCTAAAAAGTCAATATTAGGTATAAATTGAGGAACATGTTTTAATCAACATATATATTTTTTTTTTTTTTGCCGTTTAATATTTTATTAAAATAACCACACAAATATTATTACCTATTTTGCCAATACAGGTTTACTTAAAATGCAACTCCATTTCAAATGAACTCTTGACAACCATCATATGATTAGTTTTAACCACTTGGGTTTTGACAAGCTGATTGAGCCTCAGGGGGATATAGTAGAAAGTCCCATCTACCCGGGTTCAAATTCAGACGCTGCCAACACCCTCGTGGATATGGAGGTTCACCTACGACGATTCCAGACCATTTGTGGTCACATATAAATTAGTCGGTGCATATAAGCTGACCCAAAAAGCCAACGTTATCCAAAAAATCCGATCAAATAGTTTTGTACGATGTACACAGGAATCGTAAGTAAACATGGACCAAGTAAAGAAACTGCAAACCGACATCAAAATGATGATCCTCGCATCCGCAATAATTCATAATTGTCGACAATTAGTCTATTATTTACAATTTGTCGACAGTTGTCAACAAGCAAAAATACGACCAATTTGCAGCAGCATTTCACTCCGCAAACCCACAAGTGCCAACTTTCGAAAAGTCTATAGAAACGGTCCACTAATTATACGTAAAAGTGATCTTACCTCTTTGGCGCACGCGCACACAGACAGCAGGCAGGGAAGCAAATAGGGTCTTAAAACTACCAAGAACCTTTGTTGCAGAGAAGGGGTGTCACTAAAAGTTACCAACAGTTTCATGACCAAAATTTGCAGTTCGAATAACCGTTCAAAGAAGCCGTAGTAAAGAAGCAACAAGAAGCGAGTGTAGTGCAGAGATGGAGATGGAGATGGAGATACGATGCTAAACCGTGAACCAAAATTTGCGGTTTGAATTCCGTTCAAAGTAGTCATTAAGACCCACAAGGAGCAACGACATGCGGGTGTAGTGCAGAGATGAAGAAGATGCGAGATGCTAAACCGTGCGGAAGTCTAAGATGCAGAAAGTAGAGGAGGACCAAGGCCGGTTCTCACCCGATAACCAAACCTCAAAACACCAAAGAAAATATAGAAAATATGTTTAGAAACCAAATACCCCAAACATCATAATACCGTAAGTTTAAGCCAAATCTAAAGCATTATAAGTAAGGAAAAAAAAACAAAAGCCATTAAGAAGAGAATTTAGGTGTGAAAGGGACCTCTAAGTTTTCAGCAAGCTGCATAAAATAAGCCGACGCAAGAGCACCCGCTTTTGACGGTCATAAAGTGCAGTCCCACATCGAATGCCAGGTCCAACACACCAAAATGTCATCATATATGAATATAAATTAATGATACTCCTTTTTTGTTCATAAAGCCTATCACGAAACATATTAACGCAGAGCTACCCAGTTACCATTCAGCAATTTTGCTCCATCCCTGCTTTTCGGTCCTTCTTAGACTCTGAAAAACGAGCATTTGTATAAGCATTGATTTAGTCGCAGTGTCTCAAACAAGAAGAAAGATGAAATTGCACATTAACGGCATACCCGTTAGCATATGGTGAATCACGTCGAGCATGGCGATAAGGAGGTGACCTGCTGTAGCTACGACCTCTGCGAGGCGATATGCTACGACGAGGTGGAGGAGACCTTCTCCCACGAGGACTGTACCGCGGACTATAACTCCTGTCAACACACACATAAAAAACTATGAAGATAAATTATAAAATTGATAAATGCAAAGAATCATAAAACACTAAGGGCGTGTTTGTGAGCTTCTTGATGAGCTTAAAGGGACTCGCAACCTATTCGGTCAGCTATACATGACTGTTTGGCAATGGCTTAATGATATAGAAAGTGGCGTATTCAGTAAGCTTTCAATGGGAAGCTTTTATGCAGAAAGCCAAGTTATTTCAAAATCTGCCCCTCTCAATTAAAAAACACGCTCCTTCCTATGAAAAAACCCTCTCAAACAAAAACCTTCTCAATCTATAGACAGATTAATCTACACAGACAACTTTATCCATACAGGACTTTTGGAAAACCAACCAACCCCTAAAATCCTAAATTAACTTCATCATTCATGCTAACTATTTAAATTAGCACATTACAATTTCTTAGGCGATTATGTTCCTAGAATTATAAATGTGAATCCCCTCAACAACACATAACATACAACAAATAATGAATTTTAAAGAAAAATGAAATACATGTATCAGATATTTAGAAGCAAAACACAAACATAAGTCCATATCAGGCTGAAGAGTGCTCCTCATTAAAATGTTGTACCCTCATTAACGTTATCCCAATTTTATTTACAATTTGGCATCTTTACATGAATGGTTTAAGTTCCTTATACACATTCAGGTTCAAAAGTTGAGAAGAAAGGATGTTTTTGCATACCATCGATGCAGCATACTGTTTAACTAGTGACAAAAGATCTACTAAAAGAACTCATCTAAGAACATCTCCAACAGGTATGCTATAATTTTTCTAAAATAGGGCATCAAAAGTTAAAATCTCAAAAATAATTACATCCAACTCCAACAGCTACTTTATTTTAGCAATTCGACCATTAATATTCAATATATTTGATAAAATACTATTTCTCTCTCCTGAATACTTAATTTCATTGTCCCCTATTGGTTAGAAATAATTAAATATTAATTCTCTCTTAAATATGGAGTTTAAGAGATTTTTCCAGATTTGGAGATTTCTACCCCCTCTCTCTTCTTTTCTCTATTTTGGCATATAATAATAGCTGTTGGAGCAAAAATCTCCAAAACTCTATTTTAGCATAACTGTTGGAGAATATATACAAAGTGGTTCTCTCAACAAGCACCTCAAAACGTTAACACACGAGCATTTCAGACCGCAGTGTGCAATTAATAGTTGCATGGAAAGAGTTGATACAAATTTCTGTGCTTCATATCCAACAATGTTGCAACTCAATTGCAAAGCACCAAATACTTCACAAGGGGGGTCATGGCACAGACATGCCTAAGCATAACATTCTTCAGATAGTGAAAAAAATTATGGAAAAATTAATAAGAAGAAGAACCAATTAAGATAGCTGCTTTGACTTACCGTCTCCCATAACTTGGGCTCCTTCGCCGTCTAGGACTGGGACTACGTCGGCGCCCGCTTCCTAACCCACGTGGACCGACACGTAAGCGACACTCACGTGCAAAATGACCAGGCTCACCACACTCATAACACTTCAGGTCCTCACCACCACCACGTCCACGACCACCACCACGGCCTCCCCCACCTCCCTTTGAATTGTGGGAGAGCTCCACACGCCAACCGTTTTTCCCTGAGTACATTGAAATGCATTTGTGATGGCATAATCCAAAACGTAGTATAGTAGCCATATAGTGATCATCAAAAATTATAATGAAGTCCAAAAAGACCCAACCAACTTTCTCATTTTGAATGATTAAGTTCCTAAACTTTTTTAGAATGAAAAAACCATTTAACTTTCTCATTTAAAATTATCAAGTCCCTCGACTTTTTCTTGAATAAATAAAACATCGAACTTCTAACAATTGGATACCTACATTCTTTTAACCCAAAAAACTACCTAGAACCGGCTATGAAGGTTTTAAAGTAGAAAAAATATACCTACATCGGTTTTACCATTCCCAAACCCTACGGTATTCAAACCCCTTCATCGTCATCACTCTCTATCAGCGCCCATCACTGCCGTTGGTCCGCGCCATCAATCTCAATCTTTTTTATAGTTTTTGTTTTTTGATTCTCCAGCGTTTTTTATGTGTATACGTGCTCCATTAAATTGTTGTAAGAGACGGAGAATCAAAAGAAAAGGAACAGATGGCAGGGTCAACCGGGATGGACGGTATAGGGAATGGAACAGATCAAAAGGAACAAATCAGCTGTTCATATATTTTGAGCACAGTAAGGTGAAAGTCGAGCATAAAATAAAATTTAAAGAAAGAATAAAATGTAAAAACGGAGGCCAAAAAAAGTCCAGCCAAACGTGGAAGGTGTTCTGTTCTCTTCCATCCTGTCCAAGTGTAGTAAAAGCACCCTTACGAGTAATAATAAGAAAACCAGCTATAAGCTTCCATAAACAAACAAAAAAACAGTAGTTCACTTCAGCATAGACTATGAACATACCATCCAATGCACGAATAGCATCTAGTGCATCCCTGCGATCGTCAAACTCAACGAATGCATAGCCAGGTGGCCTTCTAGCAACCCACACACTGCAATAATTTCACTCACAATTAGAGACTGTAACATCTTCAGAGCTATTCCACTGCCTTGTGAATAATTAAAAACACACACACACGTAAAGTATCAGAATCAAATCCGAGGTCGAATTCACGGATAAAAACGACGCAAAACTTACTTTCTTAAAACACCATAGACGCGAAATTCATCTTCAAGCTCTCGCTCAGAAACACGTGGATCCAGATTCCCAACATACACACGAGACATCGTTGTTCGCCTATCGTAAGAACACAAAACAACAGCATCTCATCAAATCATGTCTAAAACTAGATCAGCTAATTCAGCTTCACAAAACAAAATCACAGGTAAAAGAACCTGAAAAAATATCCAAAACGTCGTGCAAAGAATCAATAATCAAAGATCAGGTGAATCATGGTTACCTCGATGAAGTTTTCTGAAGGATGTGCGATCGGGTCAAATGAATCTAAAACCCTAAATCGACGAGAGAGAGAGAGAGAGTTGCAATCAATCGTAGATGAGAATTGAGAATGAATGGGTGTTTTTTGGCATGCGAAAAAGGGCTTCATTTTGGGCCATCATACAGGCTCCCTTCTGTTGGTTTGTAGATTGGGCATGGAATTTGAAATGGAAATCGTCCAAAATAATCATTTTTGACCCACAAATGTTATAGTGAGGAGTGATGGTCAAAAACCGGTCTTGGACCGGGCCTAATTGGTCCCAAGCTTTCTGGCCATAACTAATCCCGATCGAAAATGATAGGACCGGTTAAGGTACTTTATAACCAGTTATGGACCACCGGTCTCAGGACCGGCATTAAAACATAAGATTTTTTTAATTTTTTTAATGATATATATTTTCAATGCATTATAAAATTTACAATTTAGTCACTCAAATGCACTTTAAAAATACGTTTTAATATAATTAAAATTATATTGTCATAATAGAAATACATTATAAAATTATTTGAAAATACATTTATTTATAAAATTATTTAAATTTTCGGGTCGGGCCAGGCCCATAACCGGTGCCGGTGCCGGTCCCATGAAACTACCAAAAACCCCAACCGGTCCCGGTTTTCAGTCTCATAACCGGTCCCAGGCTGATTTGGCCATCACTAATACTGAGGTTTAAAGAAAAGCACTCTAATAATCATTCAGCTAGATAGTATGTACGTATATATACACAAGTAATTAAAGTTGTTTCTTGATTCTTTTACATATGTACATAACTGAATAAATTGCTTAGAAATTACTTGTATGTACATGTGTATACAGTCTAAATAAATGGTTACCATGTTGTTGCTGAGTTTTTTCATTTTCTTACGGTTATCCATACATCTAATCTGTAGTTGTTATTTTATACTATAAGAGTACTCGCGCAATGCAGCGAGACACATCTCGATTTTAATGTTCTATTTTATTATTTGTTTTTGTCGATGTTATAATACAATTTTATGTGTTTTTAAGAAAGCAATAATGATTTTATTTTTGAATAAAATATAAATTTGAAGTTATCAACAAAATTTGAAAAAAAATATCAATGTTAATATCAAATCAACTATTTAAAAGCTCTTGTTTTTTATGTAATTTATTTAAACTTTTTATTACTAGAAGAGTACTCGCGCAATGCAACGAGACACATCTCGATTTTAATGTTCTATTTTATTTTTTGTCTCTGTCGATGTCATAATACGATTTTATGTGTTTTTAAGAAAACAATAGTGATTTTATTTTAAATAAAATATAAATTTGAAGATATCATAAAAATTTTAAAAATATATATCAATGTTAATATCAAATTAACTATTTAAAAGCTCTCATTTTTTATGTAATTTCTTTAATTTGTTTTTTATTATAATTTAATTTAGGTTTAATAATGAAATAATTTATTTTTGGTTTAATAATCTAACATTTTATAAATATAATAATTAAATATTCTGTTAGAACTCAATGATTATCGTAATTATATTTTAGATTTTTTATATTTAAAATGAGATGTTTATCCTGTATTTGATTGTTTTTATCTGCAATTAGTTACACGAATTCATATATGAGATGAAATTGTTTAGGGATGAACGATTTTAAGAGTATTTAAGAGTTTTAGCCAAATGCTTTATAATATAGTATATATATATATATTCCTAGAAAAAATAACATAATAAATAGAAACTTCACACAAATCTCATACTTTTGCAATACAAAACTTTACTATATACAAGTAAGCAAAAAAAGGTATTGTTTTTATTATTAAAAGGATTCTAAAAAATTGGAATTTAAGTTTTGACCATGACTTTTTTTTTCCCCTCATATGATGCATCGATTGCTTCCTTTACTTTCAGTAAAAATCCCAAAAGCATATTCTTCGAAAGCCAAGAATCAAATAATTTTCTGTGGTAGAATAAAATATCTTTCATTTCCCCTTCTAATAGATTCTTTTTTTGAGTTCCAAGGAATTCCAGTCCTGCGGACCTGTCCGAACTATCAGTGCTTCAAACAAAGACGCGGGTGCGAGTCTTCCTCAGTTGAAATCCAAGTTCAATGTTAACGAGATCAGTCAACATTTTTATGAACGAGATTGTCTCTGTTACAGTTATAATCTTAACTTTTCAGAAAGTTTAGTGGAATTCTAAAAAAATGGAATTTAAGTTTTGGGCATGGGGATTGGTGAGAGAAATAAATTAATTGAATAAAATTAGTGGTGAAAAATATAAATAAATTGGAATGTGTGTTTTATTTGAATAAAAAAGTGAAAGAGTATCCATGCACCAATTCCAATTGAGGTGTTTCATGCCATAGTTGTGGGATCATATTATGAGTTGTTTATCCCACAATCCATCCAAATTTATATATTATTTTTTTTTACTTTATACAAAATGACAAAAATATTTTAAGCTGAAAAACTAGCGAATAAAAATATAAATACTGAAAGTTTGAAAGATTGTGAACCCGACAAAATCGGTAGATTACAAAACAAGACTTGAATGAAGCACGACATGCATTATGATGAATCGACCTTATAGAATGTTAAATATGTCTGAATTCTGTAATAGATTGTTATATATATACATATTAGAAAAGTACTTGCGCAATACAGCGAGATATATCTCGATTATAATGTATAATTTTATTATTTGTCTCTGTCGATGTTATAATACGATTTTATGTGTTTTTAAGAAAACAATAATGATTTTGTTTTTGAATAAAATATAAATTTGAAAAAAAAAATATCAATGTTAATATCAAATCAACTATTTAAAATTTCTCACTTTTTATGTAATTTATGTAATTTTTTTTTTATAATTNATTAAATATTGTATTTAAATAGAAAAAAATAATGTAAAACAAAATTTAAAGGTGAATTCATCATGAATTTTACAATTTTTAAATATTTATTTAAATATTTAAAAATGCATAAATATTTTAAGATAGTTGTTTGATACAATGAGTACACGCCACGTGGATATTATGAGATTTTGATAGATATACCCAAATCTTTCTTGAAGATAAGACTACATCACGTATCTTTAATACTTACCTTAAAAAATTATTTATTTTTAAAATAAAATAATATAAGTCAAAAGTGTCGGCTGCCAAGAAATAGGATGAATGCATATGGAGTTATTATTAGTTATGGCCAAATTGGCCCGGTCTAACTCGGGATTGTCGGAGGATCGGGATCGGTAAGGATCGGTTGAGATTTTTGAAAGTTTCATGAGACTGGAATCGATCGGGATCGGTTATGGGACCGGTTTGAAAATTCAAATAATTTTATAACTAAATGTATTTTTAAATAATTTTATAATGTATTTTATAAGACAATGTAATTTTAATTATATTAAAACGTATTTTAAAAATGTATTTGAGTGACCCAATTGTAAATTTTATAATGTATTAAAAATATATATCATTAAAAATCTTATTATTTAATGTTGAGACCGGCTGGGACCGGAACCGGCGGCCCATAACCGGTTATGAAGTACCTTGAGTCCTTGACCAGTTCTACCGTTTTCGATCGGGACCGGTTTTTGGCTATCACTATTATGGACCATGTTCAAAAAAAGTACACTTTGATCCCTCTCACTAGTTGAGGAGTCGATATTTGCAGAGATCGTGGCATTTTTTAAATTTTAGAAGATAAATTACTAAAAGATAAATATATATGGCTAAAATGACTATTTTGAGCAATTTTCCTAAATTTAATTTATTTACTTGAAAATAAATTAATTATTTGTTTACAATATACATAAAATTAATTAGGTATATGAAATAGTTCAAAATAAAAATGAAAGATCATACCATCCATCAGCGGTGGACCTGATATTTTTAACGAACGGGTGTACATTTAAGATATTTTTTAACCTAATTTCACTGTTTTGGGATCTTCTTTAGGATCAAGGGTCCGCAAAGTTATTTATGTGCTCTTAACCTAATCCCACTGTTTTGAAAGATTTTTGAAGTTTTTAATTGATTTCGAAATACTTTTTTCGTTCTTTGGTTGATGCCCCGTTGTGTTTTTGGTTATTTGTTTGTTGTATTTTTTTAAAGTTTAACGGGTACATCTTTCATAGTCCGAAAAGGTTTATAGTTATAAAAATCCATTGAGCAAGTGGATGGGACCCCGCTCTGCCTTCATAATTCCATCTTTGCCCACAAACACGCACACGCACACGCACATGCACACACATATACATAGAGAGAGAGAGAGATAGAGAGAGAGAGAGAGATCCCTTTATTTGCGAATTTTACATACTATGCAAACTCTTACAGATTTGTGTATTGTTTTGGTCAATGGTACAGATTTGTACGGTGTCATAATTGCAATTTTTTGCAATTCAAGGACAGGTTGCATAAGTGATTATGTGGATAAGATCAATAAGAAGAGACAACAAAAAATCCACAATATGAAAATATCAAACTCTACACAAATCCTCAACTACAATATCTGGTCCAGTTTGTCCACCGATCAAATATCAGAATATTCACGCACAACAAAATCCTGATACATCTACGAACAATTTTGGTCTGTTTCAAATTTCAAATCCATATTCGGTGAACCACTTCGTCTATGATAGAATGGTATATATTTTGTTAACTAAAATACTGATACTGGTATTTTTTTAATACGCTAAAATGGGAACTGTAAGTGGGTCGTATGAGTTTTTTTCTTGTATCGAGGTAGTACAGGCTAATGGGTGAAAACCACAAATATTAATTTAAGTTTCAACAGTGAAACGAAGGATATTGTATAAAGCGTGATGAAAATTTATAGTAGATGTTGTGAAACAACTGCATCATATAATGTTTACATTGTTTAATTGGTGAAACAAAATAGGTCATGCAGGTTTCATTAGTGAACCAGTAACAATGTTCATCGGTGAAACAAATATTAGAGTGTGAGATTCATTTAATAACCTATTACATTATAATCGGAAAAAGTACAGGATAGTGTTTTAAAAATGTTTGAACTTTGTTTTATAGATTACATGAATGAATTGCATATATAACACTTTTGTA